CGGGAGCAAAGGGGGCTGATAAAGGCAGCTTATCACAAAGGATTAGCAAGTGTTATTTTCTTTCTGTTTGTTTGAAGTTCAGTATTTGGACAATCGCCGTGAACCCCAGTGTGGCCAGGGCCAAGTTTAACAATGACGGGCAGAGATTGCTCGGTTAAGATGAAATGACATGAGTGAGCCGGTGTTGTGCGGGGGAGACCCGCTGCAGGGATTTGTCAGGCTGGGTTTTGACGGGTGGAGACAACATGAGGATTAATGAACCGCTTTGGCTTTAGACAAAATAACCACGTAAAGTAAAACTTCTGTGTGCACCAGATCGGGGCTTCTCAACCTAGGCTGCATGTTAGAATCACCTGGGGACTGTTGCCACTTTGCCACACAGGGGACGCCCCCAAAGCAATGAAACCCCGGTCTCTGGAGGTAGGAGTCCCACATCTATTCCTTAAAGGTTCCAGTGTGCGACCTGGTTTGAGAAGTGGCTCCCTGGAGCGAGGCTTCCCCAGCTTTCATGTACATTCCAACCACCTGGGGAGCTGGTTAAAATGAAGACTCTGATTCAGCCTATCAAGGGTGGGGCCTGGGGTTCTCCATTTTTAACACCCTCCCTGGGATGCTGGCGCTGCTGGTCCAGGACCACACTTGGAGCAGAAAAGAGAATTGACTGCTGTCCAAATGTCCCCAGCCTCACCTCCAAATCGTCTGTGAGGCTGTCAGAGGAGTATAGCGGTTCTCGTGGATGGGGGAGGTGATGGCCAAGTTACTAATTGATGGGAAAGAGATGAGCAGAGCTCGGAGTGAGGGGCTCCACTGCAGGGGCTTGAGTTGTCCACTCCCAGAGAGACCGCCACTGGGCAGAATGAACACGGCTGGGTTTTGTGAGTTAACCAGGTACGGATTAGAGAATAAAATCTTGGCCAGGCACGGTGGCTCATGCCTGTAATCCCAGCACTTTGGGAGACTGAGATAAAGGGATTGCTTTAGCCCAGGAGTTCAAGATCAGCCTGGGTAACATAGTGAGACACCATCTCCATAAAAAATACAAAAATTAGCAGGGTGTGGTGGCATCCCCCTGTAATCCCAGCTATGTGGGAGGCTGAGATGGGAGGATCTATTGAGTCCAGGAGATCAAGGCTGCAGTGAGCCGAGATCACTCCACTGTGCTCCAGCCAGGGCAACAGAGCTGGCAAGACCCTGTCTCAAAAAAAAAAAAAAGAATAAAATATAAATATCATGACAAAATGTTAAAAATACGTCTTTACTGGGATATTATTCACACACTATAACATGCTCCCATTTAAAGAGCACAATGCCATGGTTTCTAGCATATCTCGAGAGTTGGGCAACCATCACAACTGTCTGGATTTAGAACATTTGTCACCTATCAAGGTGCCATTTCAGGCCACCTTCTTCCCATCACCTCTGGGAAGATTGCATGCAAGAATATCCCCGTAGGAATCGAAAGAGTTGAGCCCCTGGTTGGAAGCACAGGGTGTCATCATATCCTTAGTAAGGGGAGGTTGTGGACACAAAGTATGTCACTGACTCCAGGAAGCCCTCTGTGATGCCCCCAGGCCAGAGTATATCCACTTCCACCATGTTCTCAAAGCACCCAGCTTACCTGCCATTCCCATCACCCAAGCCAACCAGGCTGGGGATCCCACCAAGTCAGGACCTGTGTTTTTCATAAATCTAGCCCCAGACCAAGCCTTATTCCAGGCCACAGTAGGGTGCAGTACACGTGTGGGCTGTGAGCTTGCACCAAGACCCTGCTATGCTGTAGTGTAATGTCTGGAGACGGGTACGGTGTGGTCTGTCCTTGTCCTCTATGATTGTAGTAGAAAGAATGCTCAATTACCAAGAAGTCTGCATCTGAAGCTCACAGCCAGCATCTCAGTGTCCTCAAATGTAAACTACAGACAACCTCCCTCCTGGGCCATTAACCATCCAGGGCTTCTATAACCTGGGAGCAGTGAAGATTAGATCTCCTCAAGGATGGAACTGGAGGCAATGAGTGGAGTTCAAGGTTGGAAAATTCTAGTTGGATATGAAGAAACAGCGATTCCCCTGATGTTGGAGGTGTCTTTTAGGTTGGTGAGTTCCCATTCCTGGAAGTATTTTAGGTAAATGCGGATCCAAGATGTTACCTAGGAAAAGAGGGTGACCTTGAAGATCTGTTGTAACCTTGTGCTTCTGTGATGAAGTTTTTCCCTCAGGAAAAAGATGTATTCTTACTAAGCACTGACCACGTGGTGCTGAGTTTTGGAGGCAAGCTGACCAGGAGGAGAATGGTTCCACCGACAGAGTCGGAGGACCTCAAGAAAGAACAAGTTCATCTTAACCAGAAGCCCATAAAGAGCTCTTACGGCCCTAGGCAGTGTTTGTGAAGCATCTCAAATGCTGATGGTTCCCTGCTGATATTTTCACTAAGGGATTTTGGTTAGGGTGGCAAAACTGAAATCTATATTTTCCAGAGTCTCATTAGTGGAAGCAATGGGGTGGAGATTTTAGAAACACATTTTTTTTTTTTTTTTTTTCCTGAGACGGAGTCTTGCTCTGTCGCCCGGGCTGGAGTGCAGTGGCTGGATCTCAGCTCACTGCAAGCTCCGACTCCCAGGTTTACGCCATTCTCCTGCCTCAGCCTCCCGTGTAGCTGTGACTACAGGCGCCTGCCACCTCGCCCGGCTAGTTTTTTGTATTTTTTAGTAGAGACGGGGTTTCACCGTGTTAGCCAGGATGGTCTCGATCTCCTGACCTCGTGATCTGCCCGTCTCGGCCTCCCAAAGTGCTGGGATTACAGGCTTGAGCCACCGCGCCCGGCCTAGAAACACATTTTAAAAAGAGAAAGACATGGTTGGTCTTGTGCTCTTCCCCTTTTCCCTTCCTCAGGCCTGGATCATGGAATCCATCCAGTGACAAGGACCATGACGGTCAATTGTCAAGCATGGCAGGGCAGGAAGTCCCAAGGACACGGATCCATGACAACACTTTTAGGTGAGCATAATGGCCCTGAAGTATCTCCAAGCATTTATATGAGGAAAAAGTTTTTTTTTTAAAAAAAAAAAAAAAAAAAAAAAGAGCACTGATACATTGATTTGTTTAAGTCACGGTTAAGTTTTTAACTGCAGCTCAACACATTCCTAACTGAAAGCAATCATTTTTCCTGGCCCCTCCTGTCCGGAGCTGCACGCCCCGGCCATAGCGAATAATAATTGAGGATTAAACGCCTGAGCTATATTCATTTCCACCCCACACCTTCTCCCTATCTTTGCCTTTTTTCCCCTGTACTAATACCTCATTAAAGATGGCGCTCTTCCTGCTGCTTCTTCACTCACTTTTCCCGCTCCGGGGAAAATTGTTACTTAATAGCGCAAGCGCAACATGACGTCCGACCGGAGAAACCGAAACTAACCTGGCCACGCCCTCGGCAATGAGATCATTTCCGCCTTAGCCCAACCCCTTCCCTTCCAAGTATATATAAGGCAGTGCATTACCGCCATTAAATGAGACTTGATCAGAGCACTGTCTTGTCTCCATTTCTCGTGTCTCTTGTTCCCCAAATTCCCACCCCCTCCTCCAGGGCCTGCTCTGACTATCCCGCGGGCTGGGATACCTCCTATATGCAATAGAGATGGCAAAGATAAGAACAAACAAATTCGGCCACTTTCTGTGAGATTACACAAGAACTCTCCATCCTATTCACTATTCCAGGCAGACAGCAAATGACAGCTGTCTGCCTGGAATGTGTCAAGCCTCCCCAGCTTTGTCACTGTTGGCATGTTAGGCTGGCTGCTTCTCTGTGGCAGTGCTGTCTTGTGTGTTGTAGGAAGTTTAGCAGTACCCCTGGCCTCTACCCACCAGATTCCAGTAGCATCCCCCGCTCCCCATTTGTGACAACCAAAACTGCCTCTAGACACTGCCAAATGTCCCCTGGGGGAAGCATTTGAGAACCATCATTGTAGACATTATGGGAATTTGGCTTTGACTCATGGGATTTTGAGCAGAGGAGGAACCAGACCTGACTATATTTTAAGAGGATCTCTTGCTCTCATGTGAGAATGAACTGTGCAGAGGAGGTTCAGAAGGGCCCAGGAGCCCATGAGGAGGGGACTGAACTAGCGCTGGAAAGGCAAGGGGGCCTGTCCAGGATGTAGTGGGAGTTGACGGGAAGGGGTGCATCCAAGATTGATTCTTTGAGCTTTTGGTTCCGTGGAGATGCCATTTTCTGAGGTGAGAAAGGTCAGGGGTGGACCAGGTTACCAGGTGCAATCAGCATCTGCAGAGACTGGGGCCCCAGGGGTGCTGATACGGTGGCCGGGGGGGGCAGTGCACATTCTTCACCTTCAATAGCCAAGATCTTTACTTTTAACCCAGTTCTTGGCATCAAAGATCCACCCACATGCACAGGCCCCATGAAGGCAATCACCACATTTTACTATATGGTTTGTCTTTTCAGAAAATTCCTGAGCATTTCCCTGAAAGAGACTGAAATCCATTTTTTCAGATCTTTAGGCACAGTCAATTAATGCATAAGGTCAAAGTACTAATCATCTATTCACAGACAATTCTATCACCAGGCCTCCAAAAGCATGAAGTGAACAGACCAGCCTGTGATACAGAATTCAAATTCTCCCATTCCCATCAGAACCCCATCAGGGAGGAGTGGCGGTCACAGGCAGTACCTGCCATGGGACATTGCTGTGTAAACCTCCACCCATCAACAGCCACCCAGCTGACCACACGGTCCCCAGCATGGAGTGGACACCTCCTTTGTTTACAAGTTGACACGTCTGGAATACACCCAAAGCATGCACCAGAGATAGCCATTCATTTATCTGCACCGCCTGTTTTCAATAGTCAGATTCTCACGAACAAACCTCGTTCACCCGCACCAAAAATAACATGAACAGTTTAGAGGAATCCAGGCCCTACTTGGTGCTGCACAGAGTTTCATGCAAGCCATCACAGAGGGCCAAACCAGGACCTTCGTAGGTGATTTTACGAACAAGGCAGAATATTGATCCTGAGAGCTTCCCACGGGCTTTACGATGAAGACCAGCAGAGTCTAGCCAAGAGCATTTTCACAGGCTAGATTTAATTATGATCAGAGACGCCCTCATCATGCCTTTCTGCTCTTGGTGATTAAACCAAAGAGAATAAAGACATTTAACTAGACATGAACTGGAAACAGATTTTGGTTCAAAACCCACAGAGAGAAGAGAAAAATACAGCAGATTGCTGGACAGAGCTTGAGCCGCCTTGCTCCACCTGATTTGACAATTTCCTTTAGGTTATTCTACCAGCCAGGGTGGACTAGATTTGCCACAAGAACACACAACCCTCTTTCGTGCGACCTTGATCTTGTTTTTCTACCGTGCTTCTGCGGAGAGCTGTCACTCCACCAGCATTCAGACGTTGCCAGCCACCATGGCAGAGACAAAAGAAGTCGTGGTAAATTGCACCCCGGACATAAAGCCTCCAGCTTGACAGATATCACTTCTCCACATATTTAGTTGCCTGAACCTTAAAGCCACAGAGAAATTCTACCTGGGCCTGGAAGTTGGCAATAGACCTGATGGTTATGGCGGTGACTCATATTTTCTTTGGCTGCCCAGATGCACACAGGCTGGTGGCTATTTTCAAGGCTGCATTATAATTATTTTATAATCGTCGTGATCAGTCCTAATAACACATAGTTAGTGAGTAGTTCCCACGGGCTGGACACCTTGCCCTGTGCTTTATTTCCATTAATTCATTCTTTAATTAATTCATTAAACAATTATATACGGGGTACCTACTGTGTGCGGAGTGTTTCGCCAAGCAACTCAACAACCATGATTCTTCTTTGGAACCGCCCTGTGAGACAGTGCGTGAGTCAGGATTTGTAGTTGCAATAACAGAACCCACTTTAGGAAGCTGATACAGAAAAGGGAATTTATTCAAGACCTTCTCACATTGTCTGTGGGACGTGTGGAAACCAGGAGCAATGCCTAGATCCCACTGGAGTGCCCTCCAGCAAAGGCCTCCGGGAGGCAGCATCACAGCACTATGACCGGCCGCGGTACTCGTGACAGAACCCACAGATCCCTCCAGCAACACCCTCACCCAAGCCTGCACCCACACTGCCTCCTCCTGAACCCGGGCATGATAGGCTCCCGCCTTCCTGCAAGGGGAGTTGGGAAACTTACCTTGGAAGCAGGAGGCAACGGGAGATGCTGTTTACCGCTGCTGGGAAGCCTAAACAGGGCAGGTGCTCAAGACAGGAAGTCTGTTCTGTGGACAACACAACCGAGCCTCAGGGAGCTTCAAAACAAGCCAACAAAACCACCAGCCACCCCCACCCACCGGGTTCCCCAGCTAGAAGGGGTGCGGCAGGCTCAGTCCAGCCCTAGCTGATGCTGAGTGGTACGGAGGACTTAGATGAACATGGTGTCAGGTCATCCTGCCTGTGGCACGCATCCCGGTGGGGATTTTCACAGCAGGTAATTAGACGTGTGTCTAGACAGACCATTTCCTTCACTGTCGTTGTAACATCGTGGGTTCTCCAGTCAACAAGTACAGGGAGCAGAGAGCAGAGAGCCAGGCTCGAAGATGGTGCCTTCCTCCTCGGCTCTTCTCAGCCTTTGACCCTCAGGTCTCACGTTCCCCGGCTCCCTGGCTGGCTGCTGTCCAGTCTCCCCGGCTCCACCTGCCCCTCCCTCACTCTCAGGAGAACTGAGCTGCTGCCGTGGACAGGAGGGAGGTGCGTGGACAGGAGGGAGGTGTGGACAGGAGGGAGGTGCTACGGTGGGAGGGTCTGGCTCTCAGGTCTGTGCCTGGACTGCCTGGATTTCTGGTCTCACTGCCACCACACTAATAAGTGAGGATGTTGGGCAAATTCTTCACCTCTCTTGAGTCTCAATCCCCTTCTGTGAAACGGGATAAAGTAATCGATGTTTGGCAAAGTTCTGATTATTATTATTATTAAACGGGATGGGAACATGACAGCTATTTCCAAGCTGGGAGGGGCTTTCTGTAAATTAGCTATTTTAGGGTATCCCCTCTGAACGAAGCTGTTTCAATTTTGCTACAGGCATTTGCAAATGAGCCCCTGGTAGAATAGCTATGTTAACGAGTAACGCCATAACCAGGGGAATGGAGTGAATGACGCCGTAGTTGGGGACATGTTGTTGTTATCGCCAAACCCAGAAAACCTATGTGTAGCTTTGCCCAAATGGTCAGGAACGTGGATGTTGGAGTCAGGCCTGAGTTTGAGTCCTGGCCTTGCCATTTTTGAGCTGTGTGACCTTGAACAAGTGTCTCAACGTCTCTGAACTTCCATGTCTTCATTTGTAAAATGGAGATAAGCCTAGCCTGTGCCTCGTGAGATCTGGAGGCATACATGAGGCCATTTGTAGAGACAGCCACACACACTGAGAGCTCAGGGAATGGTGACATTGCTGGAGAAGGTGAAGGAGAGACAGAGGAGCCACGAAGAAGATAGAAGGAAAGGATGGCTCTAGCTCACATCTGTGTCCATCGGGGCCAACCCCTTGTGAAGGGAGGGCAGCGAGGGAGGGAGCTGACACTGTCCCTAAGTTGCAACAGACAGAGAGAGGGAGCAGACTCGACCATCACCTTGGGACTGGAGCCAAGAGGGAGGGGCTTCCTGGCCAGAGACGTGGTTGAATAGGGAGGCAGACTGTGCCATGGCTGGTCCAGGCAGGGATGGGGGTGACAGACGCCCTGCCCCATGTGTCCTCCCACCCTGCACTCTTGCTGGGACATCCAGCTGGGCAACCCAGTGGGAAACCAGAGAGTAGAAGCTCCACTCGGTGCCCTGGCCAGGCTTCTGGGCACAGAACTGAGCCAAGAGAAGGAGAATGAATCTGTGGGGATGGGGCGCTGGGCACACAAAGGGGAACAGCCTGCATGACCTCTGCCACCCCCCTTCCTCCTGCCCAAGAGTGGCCTCCCACCAGACCCTCCAGAAAGCCATCTACTCTCCACCCCAGCCAACCTCCCCACTTCCCTGCACTGCCTCCGCTGTTCACTTAGAGTCGTAGAATTGGTTTTAATTTGCATGGCATTTATACCTATCTTGTCTCGGCTCTGTGGATGTCCGAGACAGCAAACCTGGGGTGGAAGGCTGAAATGTGGAGGTTGGGATGATGGCGCTGATGTTTTGTTTCTAAGACCCCCGCCTGGGTCACCAGCACCCAAAGGCTGCTGCTATGTGCAGACTGGACAGGGGATTATTGTGCACTGAGGAGGAGTTTGCATCTCCAGCCCAGATTTCAGGTGGAACGTGGCAGGGGCCCTTCCTTCCCTCTCCCCTGTCTTCCCTTCTTTCTTAGGCTGGGCTGGCCACGAAGTCTCCACCTCCATCCCCAGCCAGGGCCGCTTATCACGGGGGCCTGAAGGACATCAGCCCACAGAAGGCTGGACAAGCCCAGCTCGGTCACCTTGACCCACTTCATTTGCTTCAAGGCCATGAAGCAAGGAACTCACATTTGCTCTTGAGAAGACTGACGCCCCAGATTCTTATAACAGCTAGTCCTGCCTCGCTGTGAGCCACACAGATGAGCTGGACCTGCTGGCCCACAAGCCCCTGTCTGGTCCCACCTGGGAAGGGGCCTGGGATTGCCACTCAGGGTCACTGCTCACACACTCCAGGAAGGCAAGCTGTACTGCTTGCTGGTCTGATGATTCTTTCTATGTTTTCAGTGAAAAAATAAGGGGGGAAAACTTCCTTTCTGAAACAAACCCCACTATGAAAAACCCTAAAATATTTATTTACAGAAGCAGAAATTAAACATCTTTGCCCTTGACTGATGGGAGCAACTTTTTCATCTGACACAGACCGCTTAAAAAAAAAAAACAGAAAAGAACGCCATCCACCCTCCACCCCAACCAAGCTCTTCCCTCTCCCTGCCCTTACCTCCGCTGTCCACCTAGAGTTGTAGAACTGGTTTATATTTGCATGGCACTTCTACATATCTTGTCTCGTTTGAAGCTCACAGCAACTCTGGGATGTGGTATCTTTCTCTGTATCAGAGGAAAGGAAATACAACTCAGTTACAGGACAGACCCCAAAGACAGGCAGGGGCGGAGACCAGCAAGTCACAGGGCTCACCCAGCATACCTGACTCTAGAATTTAAAACTGTCTTCTTTTTTTTGTTGTTGTTTTTTGTTTTTTTGAGACAGAGTCTTGCTCTGTTGCCAGGCTGGAGTGCAATGGCGTGATCTCAGCTCACTGCAACCTCTGCCTCTTGGGTTCAAGTGATTCTCCTGCCTCAGCCTCCTAAGTAGCTGGGATTACAGGTGCGCCCACCACCACGTCTGGCTAATTTTTGTATTTTTAGTAGAGACGGGGTTTCATCATGTTTGTCAGGTTGGTCTCAAACTTCTGACCTCGTGATCCATCTGCCTCGGCCTCCCAGAGTGCTGGGAATACAGGTGTGAGCCACTGTGCCTGGTTTTTGTTGTTTGTTTTTTGTTTTTGTTTTTGTTTTAATCAGCAGATCATTGGTGCAGGAGAAGCTAGTGGACAAGCAGCTCCCAAGCAGATGGGAGAGAGGAGTGGCTGAGAATTTGGCTGTGAACACACAGTGGAGGGGTACTGATATGGAGGTGAGAGGATCCTCTCATCCCTCTGCAACCACAGGGAGCCACGGAGGGCCCAGAAGCCCACAGCACCCAGATCGGGCTCTGGGAAGTTCCAGCCAGAGCACCTGGTGTGGGACTGATTTCACCTGAGCAATGATTTCAGGTGGAACACTTGGCAGCACTGAAAATTGCAAGGGAAGTTCTGTGATAATGAGAGAGGCCCAAGCACCTCCCCACACCTCTCTCAAGCATCCTAGTTGCCTCCATTAGCAAGCTAGAGCAGGCTTGGGCTGCAAGCCTCAGGCAAGCCGCAGCATCTAGGAAGAGTTTAATAATGGCGGTGTGGTTTCTTGCATTTACTTTTATAGTAGCTTCTGATGGTGATGAGAAATGACTATTTTCATGGAGGTCTGTACTGTAAAAGTGTTCTTTTAAAATAAGGTAAAGTCAGAAAATGAATTGATTTAAAGAAGAAATATTAGGGGGAGGATAACAGTATAAATGGCACACACAGTGCCAGCGGGAACTGTGATGTGGAAGTTTGGAGAACAGTTTTCTTTCAACCAGATTGAGTGAGGGCAAATAAGACACAGCATGTATTGCAAGGATCTAATCGGTCATCAGTATGTTCATTTACATTTTCAGTTCTCCCCTATTGCATGAGTTTTATTTCCCACCAAAGCAAATAAACATATACCTGGGTGGGGGGGAGCGAGGGGCAGGTATAAATTAGAAACTCCTGTAGGGGACAGGAGTCTTTTCGACTCTGACCTTCTGCCCTGATTGGAGACACTCTGAGACCACAGGTTGTTCTCAGCTCTGTGGACTTCCAAGACAGCAAAACTGGGGGTGGGTGGCTGAAACGGGGAGGCTGAGATGATGGCACTGATGCTTTGCTTCTAAGACCCCCGGGACACCAGCACCCAAAGGCCGCCGTGTGCAGACTGGATGAGGGTTATTGTGGGTTGATAGGAGTTTGCAACACCCATCTTTTCTCACTGACTCTTGGCCATCTCCTGGTCTCCCCAAGCCCAGCTCCATCCTTGGAGAGGTGCACCCATCAGGAATGTGGAAGTCAGAGAACGTCGGAGGAGTGAAATGCAGGTGCCGGGAGCCAGTCTCAAGGAACGTGGTTAACAGAAGGCTCACATTGCACTGCAGGGCAGCAAGCATTTATTCACACTGTCCCCGAAGCAGTGGAATGAAGGCCATACCTGAAGCAGCTTTGTTATACTCTGGGGCTTCATTCTAACTTTCTATCAATTATCACACACTTCCAGAAAACCATACAAACTCAATACCTAATCTCCGATTAATTACTGTTAATATATCTAAAGATTATCCTCAGAAATGCCAAACAATGCAACCAGTGGTTCAACATACTGTAATTAAGTATTTACTATGGAAAACCACACAGTCATTACAAAGCTAAGCCTATCCAAATGCACTGCTGAGAAAAAATGACCACCTCCTATTGTTAAGGGAAAAGACAAGCTCGCAGGGTATTTGCTCACCCAGCCAACAATATTTCCTCGGTGTCCACTGCGTGGCAGGCATTGTTTTAGGTGCTGAAGATGGGGTAGTGCACAGCGTACGTGCCGGGGAGGGAAGACGAAAGGAATCAGTTCACAAGTAAACAGGAAAAGGAGCATTGCCACTCAGACAACGAATGAAACAGGATGTAGGAAGGAGTGACCGCGGTCCCCGTGGCAGATGGCTGTGGCCTCACTGAAAAGGTGAGATTGGAGCTGAGAAGTGAAGGATGAGTAAGAACCAGCCTGGGAAGATGTGGCAGGGAGGGCCGGACTTACCGCTCAGACGCAGGCCGAACAAAGCTGCCGGGAAAGAATTCCGCGTCTTCCGGGACTGGAAAGAAATACCTCTCAGCGTCTCCACCTGACAAGACCCAGCCAGGTGTGTGGTGTTTCCACTAAGCCCACTGTTCTCTCAGGATCTCGGGGCGGAAGACTTCATCATCCTTCTGTAGAGAAACAGAAGTGGACGGCACCATTTGGAAAAGGTATTTTCTCACAGGCATGACAGTCACCTGTTAGGTGAGGTCGTCCTCACCCCTGACATACCTCCGGAATTAATCTCTCTCTGTTCTCCTGACACAACTCAGCACCTTATCTTCGCCTGGATTGCTTAAACAGCTAAAACAGGCCTTTTTAAGAAGCGTCGTATTTAAAACAATCATCCTAGTTCCCATGTATCGTAAATGCCTGCTGGGTATGACCTCCTCTTCACACGCCTCCTTCGGAGACGGACTGAAACCTCCCCTTTCGGAAAGAAGGAACAGCAGGCGGCAAACAGCAGAGCTGTGATTTGAACTCAGGTCTCACCAGCTTCAGGGAGGCAAGACCATTAACTTTATACTGAAAGATATGCATTTTTAAACTGAAAACAAAGTATGCAAAGAACTCATGGGAAGCCGGAGAGGAAACAAGGAGATGGCACGGAACAGCAAAAGAAGGAGAGAAATTACGAAAAGCAAACTCAGAAGTTAAAAATTAAAAATTTTATTTTGTGTTGAACTTGGGTTTTTTGCAGCCTAAGCGGCAGGAGCGGTTCCTCTTTCTTTTCACTAATGAGGCTTCTCTCCACTGGCAGCTGGAGGCGTTGCTTTGGACGCCACATTTGACAGCCCCCTCATTGGCCTTCCTGCCTCCACACCGGCCCCTGCAGGCCACCCTCCCTGGCTGCTGGGACATCTTCCTAGAAGGCAAACGTGGCCCCGCCACTTCCCACAGCACATCTTCTGTGGTGCCCACAGTCAGCCAGGTCAAGTCCCAGCAGGCCCCAGACAACCTCTGCAGCCTCTCACCCCCCATCCCTCCCTGCGAGGAGCCCCCATCCGTCTCTGCTGGCCGTGAGGTTTACTCTCCCACGCACCCCTCTAGAATCCCCTTGCCCTGACCCCTCTTCTCCAAGTCAGGAAATTCTTGGGCTCCTTGGAGGGTCGCTGTAACATCGATAGCTTGTTCTTTGCCCCTGTAGCGGCGTTCCCAGGTCTGTGATTGGCTGTGCATGAATCTGTCCTCTCGGTTACTTCCAGGACTCCGTGAGAGCAGGGCCCGTGTCCTGTTCATCTGTTTCTCTGATGCCTCATTGGAAAAGAGCATGGGAGAGGCCAAAAAATGAAAAAAAAAAAAAATGACAGAACAGCTTGGTAAGATATCTCTTATGGGGGTACAGGATCCAGGGGAGGTGCATAAAGAGTTACCGTCAAGTGTGTGGGATGGGCAGGTCAGGGAAGGCTTCCTGGAGGAGGCGTGGGCAAGATAAAGGTTGGACTGGAGCCAGTCCGTTAATGTGGTAGAGAAAAGAAATTGAGGCAGGGCTGAGGGTTCAGAGAAGCGAGGAACTCTGCCTCTTTGAGCGTGAGTTAGGGGATGGTGAGAGATGGCCTTGGATAGGCAGATAATGGTCTGGAGCCCCTGTTAGAAGCTTTAGGCTTCATGGTGAGAGGAGCAGGGATGCCTACAGGTTGTTTTCTTATGAAGAGAGAGTGATGTGGTTGAGTTTCCATTTCAAAAAGGTCACTCTGGCCACAGAGGGGAGAAGAGATTAAGAAGAGAGGTGGCTGGCTGTCATGTTTGGTTGTATAGGTTGGGCACTGCACAACTTTAGGGGTAAGATTTTCCCCTCTCTGGTGGCCCCTGGGTACTTGAGAGTGGCTGACATCATCTGATGGCAGAGACTCTCATTGGACAGTTGTCATGGCAAGTTAGCAACTGATGCTGGGCATGGGAACACGTGGAGTGCTGTGGACACAGAGAGAGGGACATGTTGGTTCAGAGAGACTCACAGATGCATCAACAAGGGCTCTGACCCTGCAGCTTTGAACAAGGCCTGGGGTGCAACCTGTTTGCCAGCTGGGTACCTAAGGGTGGCATCTATGGACCACCTAGAGGTGGATTTATCATGAAGCTAATGCAACTTAAGCTTCAGGACCTGAATCTGCATAGTCCTCTTCCAATATGTCCCCAAAGTCATATGTTTTTGTGAAATGCACAAGATATTTTCATCACAGTTGGCTAAGACTGCTGTTTCCTCCTGCTCTGACTTGCCCTCCATCACCTCTGCTGGTGGCATGGGAGGGGCCACGATTTGGCTGAGGGGAGGCTGATACCTGGATCCTGGACTGTGAGCAGTAGGCTGGCATCAGCAGCATTGCCGGTGCCATCAGTGTACAGACACCAGGTGTGGTGGCTTCCAGCATGTTCCTCCTGCCCCTCTGTCAACTTCCCTGTATCATGACATGGAGGTGCAGAGACAAGGGTGGAACAGGGAAGCCACCATGCCCGGTGATGCTGGCAAGAACAGGGGCAGGCGAGCATGGACAAGGTTGGAATATGCAGAGCCTGGTCTGTGGAAAATTCCTCCAAACAGATACACATGGCTCTAAACAGAGGACTCGATTCTCTCGGACTCAGTGAAAATGGAAATTCGTTCCCATCAGGACTACCCTCAGCAATGCAGCATGTAGGATGATAAGTGTGCCACAGCTCATAAAAATCACTTTGGTGGGAATGGTATGTTTGATCAAGCTTGAGTATCCCACTAAAGTTGGAACTTAGAAAGAAAGGGATTTTGGAATATTTGAATAAAGCAAGTGAGAAATTGCAGACTCCTAATTTAGATGTATCTGAAGGGTACCTTCTTTTATCTTAAATTTGTTTATTAAAAAACAATGGATGACTTGAGTAATAGAATATGAAACAAAAGAGATGAACATGAAGCATGGCACAGATCTTCCAACATTGAGAAGCGAACTATAACTGAAAATGTCCACATCATAACAGAAACAGAAGTTCATTAAGAAGAGGTCAGCTAACACGGCGAAACCCCGTCTCTACTAAAAATACAAAAAAAAAAAAAAAAAAAAAAAATTAGCCAGGAGTAGTGCCAGGTGCCTGTAGTCGCAGCTACTCGGGAGGCTGAAACAGGAGAATGGCGTGAATCTGGGAGGTGGAGCTTGCAGTGAGCCGAGATTGTGCCACTGCACTCCAGCCTGGGTGACAAAGCGAGACTCCATCTCAAAAACAAAAAAAAAAGAGGTCAGCTGGGTGTGGTGACTCACGACTGTAATCCCAGCACTTTGGGAGGCCAAGGCAGACAGATCAAGAGGTCAGGAGTTTAAGACCAGCGCGGCCAATATGGTAAAACCCCATCTCTACTAAAACTACAAAAAAAATTAGCCAGGCATGGTGGCAGGCGCCCGTAATCCCAGCTACTCGGGAGGCTGAGGCAGAAGAATTGCTTGAACATGGGAGGCAGAGGTTGCAGTGAGCTGAGATTGCACCACTGCACTCCAGGCTGGGCAACAGAGTGAAACTCCGTCTCAAAAAAAAAAAAAAAAGAGAGGTCAATTTCAAATGGAAGTGATAAATTAGCACTTAGGTGACATGAAAACCTAGTTCAGGGGTCCCCAGCTCCACAGCTGCTGATGGGTACTGGTCCGTGGGCTGTTAGGAACCAGGCCGCACAGCAGGGTGAGCGCCAGGTGAAGGAGCATTACCACCTAGGCTCTGCCTCCTGTCAGATCAGGGGAAGCATTCGATTCTCACAAGAACTCGAACCCTATTGTGAACTGTGAACTGCACATTGGAGGGATCTAGGTTGTGGGCACCTTATGAGAATCTAATGCCTGATGATCTGAGGTGGAACAGTTTCATACGAAACCATCCCCCCCACCCACTCCCATCCATGGAAAAACTGTCTTCCACAAAACCAGTCTCTGGTGCCAAAAAGTCTGGGGACTGCTGACCTAGTTACTGAAGAGAAGTGAGTAATATTAATATATTACACCAATATTTAAATTTCTTGCTGGTTTGATGGAAAATAACTGACATTCAGGTAGATAGGATAAAATCCACAAATAAAATCACTGATGACAGATTCAGTACTGTCAATTCAAAGAGCATGTAATGTTCTTAATTGTACAAGAAAACCTGAAATGACCTGAAATCTTACAACTCATATATGAAGGAAATCAATAGAAGTTTTCCCAAATTTGATTATAGTCTTGAATTTTTTACAACAGTCTCAGTTGGGATCAAAGGGCCAGGTAGAAGCATAATTATGTCATTGTGAAACGAAAAAACATTTTTTCTAAGCTAACTTCCAGCAAAGATGCACAAAATCACACTGTAGCCAAATACGCCACAGCAGGTGCTGATCTATCTTCCTGTTCTCACTGTGGAAAACAATGCTGACAAAATTGTCATCGTATGAAAAGGAGCTCCTTTGGGTATATCTCTAAGAACTTGTTTTAGGCATCTGGGTGCTTCTGTATTGGGTGCATATATATTTAGGATAGGTAGCTCTTCCTATTGAAGTAATCCCTTTACCATTATGTAATGTCTTTGTCTTTTTTGATCTTTGTTGGTTTAAAGTCTGTTTTGTCAGAGAGTAGGACTGCAACCCCTGCTTTTTTTTTTGCTTTCCATTTGCTTGGTAAATTTTCCTCCATCCCTTTGTTTTGAGCCTATGTGCGTCTTTGCACATGAGATGGGTTTCCTGAATACAGCACACCAATGGGTCTTGACTTTATCCAATTTGCCGGAAGTAGCTTACCCCAAAAGATTCTCTTGCCACTAAAATAAAGGCAGAATTCTATCTAACACATGCAGCAAAATAATGCGGAATGTGAACCTACCAGCTGCCGCTGGTCCTGCAAAGTTCTTGAATATACTTCACAGGTGCCATCTGGAACTACACCTGTACAAAAATCACCCTGAAAATAGTTTTCAATCAACATACACTTGTGATTATATTTTTTAAAAAAAGGAGATCCAAGAACATGCAGTAAAAACAAGGTTTGTGGGTGTGGGTCTGTCGGGCAATGAGTTAGTGAAAATATGTTAATCTGCACATGTAGTGATATTTCCAGTATTTGTTAGCTTTTCAAAATATGCAATTTGTTATGGTTTCTCTTCTGAGTATTCACTTTTGTAACTACATCTATATTTATAATTT